GTGGGGGGAAAGGCAGGAGAAGGAGAAGCAGACTCCCCACTGAGCAGAGAGCCTGATGCTGGGCTCAAGCCCAGGACCCTGAGAACATGAACTGAGCCGAAGGCAGACGCTTAACCAACTGAGCCATCTAGGCACTCTGAGATTTTTCTTGTTTTTTAAATATAAGCATTTATAGGTATAAATTTCCCCCTCAGCACCACTTTTGCTGCATCCTGAGTTTTGGTATTTTGTATTTTCATTTCCATTAATCTCTAAGTATTTTCTAATTTCCCTTGTGATTTTTTTTAATCCATTGATTGTTTAAAAGTGTGTGGTTTGGGGCACCTGGGTGGCTCAGTTGTTGGGCGTCTGCCTTCTGCTCAGGTCATGATCCCGGGATTCTGGGATCGAGCCCCGCATCAGGCTCCCGGCTTGGTGGGAAGCCTGCTTCTCCCTCTCTCACTCCCCCTGCTTGTGTTCCCTCTCTCGCTGTGTCTCTCTGTCAAATAAATAAATACAATATTAAAAAAAAAAAAGTGTGTGGTTTTATTTATTTATTTTTTAAAATATATTTATTTATTTGACAGCAGGAGGGATTATAATTAGGAAGAGAGGCAGACAGAGAGAGGGGGAAAGCAGGCTCCCTGCTGGGCAGGAAGCCTGATATGGGGCTCGATCCCAGGACCCTGAGATCATGACCTGAGGTGAAGGCAGAGGCTTAACCCACTGAGCCACCCAGGTGCCCCGTGTGTGGTTTTATTTTTCACAAATATCTGAATTTTCCAGATTTATGTTATTGACTTCAAGCTTCATGCTCATGTGATGGGAAGATACTTCGTATGAGAACTGACTTTCTTTTTAAAGATTTTATTTATTTATTTGAGAGAGAAAAGGAGAGAGAGAGAGCGCGCACAAGTGAGGAGGAGAGGGAGAAGCAGATTCCTCACCAAGCAGGGAGCCCCTATGTGGGGCTTGATCGCAGGACCCTGGAATCATGGCCTGAGTGGAAAGCAGACGCTTAACCAGCTGAGCCACCCAGGCACCCTGATAGCTGTCTTTTAAAGTTTTTAAAGTGTATTGAGACTTAATCTGTGACCTAACATATGGTCTATCCTGTAAAATATAAAATGCACTTGAGAATAATGTGTATGCTGTTATTGTTAAGTATTCTGTTTATGTCTGTTAGATATAGTTAGTTCCTTCTGTTAAATCATCTGTTTCCTTATTTTCCTTTAATCTGGTTGTTCTATCCATTATTGATAGTGGGTATTAAAGTGTCTAATTATTATTATACATCTGTCTGTTTCTCCCTTCAATTCCATCAGGTTTTGCTGTACACATTTTCCTGGTCTGTCATTAGGTGCATAAATGTTTATAATTGTTATATTTTCTTGCCATACTGAACCTTTTATTAATATATAGTGTCTTTCTTTGCCTCTTGTTACCTTTTTCGATATAAAGCCTGTTTTGTCTGATATCGGTGTAGCCCTCTTTGCTGCTTTGGGTTACTGTTTGCACAGAATATCTTTTTTCCTTTCTTCGTTTGTAATCTATGTCTTTGGACCTAAAATGAGTTTCTTGAAGAAAGCATATAGTTGGGTCATATGTGTTTATTTATTCTGCCAGTGTTTGTTGTAGAGATTAATCCATTTACATTTAAAATAACTACTGAGAAGGAGGAACTTACATCATTTTGTTACTTTTATCATTTCTGTAAATATTTATTATTTTGTTCCTGTCATCTCTTACTGTTATTTCTATGTGCCTTTTTAACTTTTGTGTCCCTTATTTCCTGTAATACTATTTTATGTATGTGTGTTTAGTTGATTTTTTTGGTAGTGAAATGTTTAAATCTTTTTCTTATTTCTTTTTGTATGTATTCTATACCTCTTTTCTTTGTGGTTACCATGGGAATTACATTTAACATCCTTAAGTTATAACACTCTGATTTGAATTTATACCAACTCAATTTCAATAACATACCAAAACTCTGCTCCTTTACAGCTTCATTCTTACCTCTTCTGGTTGTTGATAGCAGAAAATTACATCTTTATATATGGTGTTCTCCAGAACATAAGTTAGTAATTCTTTTAAATGCATTAATCTCTTAAAGTACGTAGGAAACTATGTGTGGAGTTACAAACCAAAATGGCAGGGATAGTATCTTTTAGACTAATTGTTTCGTCTTAAATGCATTGTTATAATAATACTAGGTTTTACGTTTGCCCATATATTTACTTTTATTGAGATCTTTCTCTGTACAGCTTTGAATTACTGTCTAGTACCCCATCCTTTCACCTTGCAGGACTCCTTTGAGCTTTTCTTGCAGGGTAGGTCTAGTGGCCACAAACTCCCTCAGATTATCTGGGAATGCCTTAATTTACCCCCTCATTTTTCAAGGACAGTTTTTTTGTTTTGTTTTGTTTTTTTGCAATAAGAGTCTGGTTTATAGTTTGTTTGTTTGTTTTCTTTTAACACTTGGAATATGTAGACCTGTTGCTTTCTGGCCTCCAGAGTTCCTGATGAGAAATCTGGGGATAAATTCATTGAGGATTCCTTGTCTGTGACAAGGTGCTTTTTCCTTGGTGCTTTCAAGATTCTTTCTTTGTCTTTGTCTTTTGAAAGTTTGGTGAGTGTCTTTTGAAATGTGAGTTTCTTTGAGTTTGTCCTACTTGGAGTTCTTTAAATATTATAAAAACTAGTCCTTTGTTGGAACTGTGGTTTGCAAATATTTTGTCACAGTGTATGGCTAGTGTGTAGGGTCTGTAGGGTCTTCCAGAGAGCAAAAGTTTTTTAATTTTGATGAGGCCTAGCATATCAGTTTTCCCTTTAATGGGTCATGTTTTTAGTTCAAGTCTAAGAGCTCTTTGTCTAGCCCTCAGAGCTCAAAAGATTTTCTTTTATAGTTTTTTTTTCCTTGAAAGTGAGTTTTATATATTTTATATAGTTTTATATATTTAAGCTTGTAATCTATCTTGAATTAATTTTTATATAAAGTATATGGTATATCTCGAGGTTTTTTGTTTTTTGGGGAGTTTTTTTGCCTATGCCTATCCAGTTTCTCTGCTACCATTTGTTGGAGAAACTGTCCTTATTCCATTGAATTCCTTCTTCTTCACCTTTGTAAAAAAAATCATTTGGGCATATTTGTGTGGGTTTGTTTCTGGGTTCGAAATTATGTTCTATTGGTCTGTGTGCTTATCCCTTCTCTAAAACTACACTGTCTTGATTACTGTAGCTATATATAAGCCTTAAAATTGGGTACACTCTGTCTCACTTCATTCTTCTTTGTTTTATTTTGGGGTTCTGTCTTTCCATATAATTTTATTTTATTTTTAAAGATTTCATTTGTTTATTTGAGAGAGAGAGAGCAAGTGAAAGAGAGCCAGATACAGAACTTGGTCCCAGGACCCTGGGGTCATGACCTCAGCCAAAGGCAGGCGCTTAACTGAGCCACCCAGGCGCCCCTCCGCATAATTTTAGGATCAGTTGACCTAGTTGTACAAAACATCTTGGGATTGTGATAGGAATTGCATTAAGCCTGCAGATCAATTTGAGAAATAACATCTTTACAGCACTGAGTCTTCTAGTCTATGAACACGTCTGTTTTTTTAAATATTCTTTCATTACTTTGATCAGCACTTTGTAGTTTTCAGCATATGGATCCTATTCTTCTTTTGTTGAGTTTATACCACAGTATTTTATTTTCTTTGTGAATTGTTAATGATTTTGTGTTTTTGATATTTTAGTTTGCATGTATTCATTATTAATATATGTAAATGTGATTGATTTTTATGTATTGGTTTTAAAAGTTTAAAAAGTAGCTTTTTATGACTATTTCCTTCTTCTGTTTTTTTATTTATCTGTAGGTGATTTGTAGAATTGTCTTAGAGACCATTCTAACATACTGGATAACTAATTGTAAACACTCGTGCAAAGGCAGTATTGTTATTTATAGTTTATAGTTTATACTTTGAACCTAAAAATTTACCAGGTTAGTATATGGCAAAGGTGAGATTCAAACCCAATCTTATACAAAGCTATTTACTATCTCAGGTTAAAAAAAAATTTTTTTTGCTTGCTCCTTGCTCAGCAGGGAGCCTGCTTCCCCCCTCTCTCTCTGCCTGCCTCTTTGCCTACTTGTGATCTCTCTCTCTCTGTCAAATAAATAAATCTTTAAAAAAAATGTTTAAAGCATTTACATGATATATTTTGTAAGAAATTTGATTCCTAAAAGTGATATCTAGACTAGACTTGCTAGGTATTTCAATACTTATTTTTCTTTTCTCTGTAGAGAATGTACAAGTGTCTGCTAACATTTTGTGCATTGGGAAATGTTTGATTTCATTGTCTTTACTCAGTGCTTATAAAGATTTTTTTGTATTTGAAATTTAAGTTTTCACCAGATTGGTATCCATTTATTCATTCTTTCATTTACCATTTATGAAGGTAGGTATTATGCTAGGTACTAGATATACAGAGATGAATTATACATTACTCTCTACTTTTAATTTGACTATAGCCAAGTAAAGAAGACTATCAGGAAAGCAGATAAATACAGTAGAGGATGGTAAGTGCTCTGATGAAGGTACTGTTGCTACACAGTAGTGTGCTGGAGCTGGCTTATGGCAGCACACAGAAGTCAGTTATTAAATAGAAACTTTGCAAATCCGTTTTACTAGTGGTAGCTTAAAATTGGCTATGGTAGGAATATTTACACCATGGAAATCGGCAAATGCTACAAATAGCGCTTTCTCTTTTTTTTCCTACTTTCTTTCTTTTCTCCCATCAGGACATCCAGTTTACTGACATACCATTTTGGTACAGGAGCAGAGGTATTAAGTCCAGTCCTTTACCTCATTGCAACACAAGCCCATTTTGCATTATCATAAGTTGTCACAGGACCAGCTGCTTCTAGTGATTTAATCAGCAGCCTCTCGCAAACATGGTGGCCGTTACCCTTTTAGATGAGGAAAGCGAGATTAAGTCTAAATTCCCCGTGGGTTCTGTTTTTATTCCAGAGATTATAAAGCAGCTAACATCAAAATCAACTTGTACCTTGTTAATGAACCTTGGCTCTACTCACTGGCCTGGTGCTCCAAGATTCACTCAGTGACCACAGACAACATTCACATCCTGAGTCAGCTAGATCAGCCTTACTTCCTCATGGTGAGCTGGCTATCCAGGTTGTTCTTTCAAGCCTTGTACAGTAGGAGTCTAAGTCCCTTACCCTACCCCTATATTGTCCACTGTGCAGGCCTCTTGGGAGCTACTTAATAGCAGAGACCTCTATGATGGTGGAGATGAGACATTCTCCTTCTCTCACCCACATCCTTCTGTGGTTTGCAGAAAGAAATTAGTATTGTTATAATATTGTCGCTTATTGAATCTTCATGATGTGTTTTTCATGCATTATGTAATTTGACCCTCTGAGTTACTCATTTTTATTATTCCTATGAAGAAACTGAAGTTTGATGATGTTAACATTCTTAGACATAGTCACATGAGGCAAGATTCAGAATGAGGTTTGATTCTAGAGTTTTGTTACAGAAGTCCTGCCTTTCTAGAGGCATGACAACAATGACAGTGGCATGGACTGTGGGGAGAAAACCAAGTATATCTGACTCCAAAGTGAAAACTTTGTGTCCTGAACAAAATGCTTTCGAAAAGGAAAGCCAATCTCAGGGTCATGAGATTTGAGCCCCATGTCAGGCTCCCAGCTCAGCATGGAGTCTGGGTGAGATTCTCTCTGTCCCTCTGCCCCTCCCTCTGCTTGCATCCTTTCTCTCAAAATAAGTAAATAAAATTTAAAAAAAGAAAAAGAAAAAGAAAAAAGCTAGTGTCCAGCCTACCTTCCTTGATTGCTCCTCCGAGCCCTGATGCTGCTTATTGCCAGAAATGTAAGGACCTGAACACGTGGGTCATAATCACAGCTAAAATCTTATCATTTATTATCTGTGGAAGCACCCCTGGATAACCAGTTAACTGCTACAGAGCTCTTTTTTTTTTTTTTTTTTAAGATGTTTACTTATTTGACACAGAAAAAGAGAGAGAGAGCACACAAGCAGGGGGAATGGGATAGGGAGAAGCGGACTCCCTGATGAGCAGGGAGCCCAACACAGGGCTCCATCCCAGGAATCCAGAGCCAAAGGTAAATGCTTAACCAATGTAGCCACCCAGGCACCCCTACTACAGAGCTCTTATCTGTGTAGAGTATCTCGACTGAGCCAGACACAACAGTATACAACAGAAAAGAACTTTTTTTCATTGACTGTTTAAACTTCTCTCTGAGCTAGACTTTCCCTGCTCCTGAATGAAATCTTACTCAGGTCCCGTAAGTTTTCTAGTCATTTTTAGATAACTTCAAGATTTCACTTCCAGTCACCAAAAAGTCTCACTTCAGAGTGGAAGTGTCTAGTTGAAAATACACCCAAACTCCAAGCTGTTTTAAAAAGTAAATCTTTAGGCAGAGAAGCCCAAATGAGAAGCATAAATATTTCAGGCTGTCTTCTCCATACCTCTGGCCTCACTAGCCCTTGTTTCGGGTCAGGACCAGGAGAAAGGGAATCAGGGTCAGGGCACAATCTCATAGAGCCAAGCCCTGTGGTGGCAGTGTAAAATTACTGACACCTTTTTTCTCGCTGGCTTGGGCAACTTTGTGGAGACGACTCTGAAGAAAACCTTCATCGGCAGGTCCCTTGGCTAAGTGAAGCCTTTCTACTTGTCTGTCCTCATACAATTTTCCTTCATATGTGTACTATATATTTTTCTAAGATTTTGTTTTTTAAAATTGATTACAAAGTAAGCCTGTTCATTATATGAAATTCAGTCATTATAAAAATAAATAAACTGGAAAACAACACACCCCCCCATAATCCTATCCCCCTAAGTCAGTAATGTCTCACAGTTGTGCCTTTGGATATCTTAAATGAAGCTTTATTAAATAAAGCTTTTTATTTTAATACTTGAATTCATACTGTTTGAAATAATTCATGTGATTCAAAATTTTAAAAGTATAGAAGGATATAAAGTTAAAAAATATTTCTTCTATACCTGGCTGTGGCTTTTCTATAGGACCTAGGGTCACCTTTTTCAGGAAGGTGAGACCAGTAAGTGTCCTCAGGGCTTTCTCTATGCAGATTTAAATCTTGGCTCTACCCCCTACTGTGTGAACTTGGAAATGTTAGTTAGCTTGTCCATGCCTCTGTTTATTATTAAATTATGAATAATGATAGTACAACAGAAGTACTTGTATCTCTCACAGTTTAATCTGATCATTGGTCTGTTAATTGAAAAAGTTAAAGTGGGGAATCATAGATAGATACGTGTGTGTGTGTGTTTACAATCTGTCGGCTTTTAGTACTTAACCCATCTGAAATGTAGAGCCTTAAAACAACAAATATTTCTTTGTCATATTCTTTGTGATGGCTACATGGTCCTGTGGTCAGAGCCAGCTTAGTGTAGGGTGGGTGCATCGATATGTCTAGGTTCTTACCTGGATTGCCTGGGGTCTGTGTGATCACTCACCGTCAAGGAGGCCGGCTTGAGCACGTTCACTTGGTGGCAGTGGGTTCCCGGAGAGGAAGAGAGGTAAAGCCCCAATGCAGTACAGTTTTCAAGGTTTCCCAGGTGTGATTTTTTGTTAATGTTCCAATGGCCAAAGAAAATTCCATGGCCAAGTCCGGATTCAAGGTAGGGTAGGAGAGAAAGACCTCATGCATTGATGGGGAGGAATAGCAAAGTCACACCTGTATACAGGCCTGCATTTTGGGAGGAATACTGTCATTTTTATAAACAATCTATCACATAAATACCTCACACATTTTAATTTAAAATATTCATTTACCTTATAGCATAAAGTCAGGGTCTTTGAGGGTACTTAAGCTGGTGGAATTCTATAGTCATTTGTTTATTTCAACACCCAAATGAACCAGCTATGATTTCTAAGTTTTGTTTCTTTCAAGCAGAACAAGAACATAAAGTCATTGAAAGAAACAATCTGAATGAGGGATTCACTGAGATTTTCATAATCCTCTTATCCCCAGTCTCTTACAGTGTCTCACTCACACCTCATTCAGTTGTAGTTTATTTTTTAATCTCTTCTGTCTTTGCTGGTTTTTCCAAAGCATTGGCTTAGTTTTCTGGAAAATGATGTACCTCTTTTTCATTTAGATTTACAGATTTGAGTAACATTTAATTATACTGTACAGTTGTAACAAGTAGACTGTTCTAAGCCATTTCAGGGAGCAAGAATGATTGATTCTTAGTAAATGGACAGCTCACCTGCTGGGAATTCCTGGAGCAGGTTAGGCTATCAGTCACTCTTTCCCAGAGGGGAGGGATTAAGAGCCTGGGTTTAGGGGCACCTGGGTGGCTCACTCAGTTAAGCATCTGCCTTTTACTCAGGTTATGATCTCAGGGTCCTGGGATTGAGTCCCACATTGGGCTCCCTGCCCAGTGGGGAGTCTGCTTCTCTCGGCCTCTCCACTCTCTCTCTCTCAAGTAAATAAATTAATTTTTAAAAAGAGCCTGAGTTTAATGGATGTTGGCTAAGAACTTCTATTGTACCTGCTTAGTGGGGCTGTTGGGAGGATGGGATGTAAAAACACCCTTTAAGTCCTTAGAATGCTTCCTTAGCTCTTGTGGATGCTCATTAATTGTTGTCATTGTTGTTAATTGTTAGTTGTTGTCATTATGACCATTAGTGTTATTATTACTATTAATGTTATGTTATTATTCAGCTCATGGAAAGACCTTGGGATAGGCTGAGGAGAGGCTCAAGAAAAAGCAAAAAGTGCCAGGCCCAGGGGCGTCAGATAACAGTGGAGGTGGAAAGGGAGGATCAAATCAGTTAATTATAAAACTCATACAAGAGGACCCAGGAGATGAAGTTCTGGGAGATTCAGGCAAAGGAACATGGAGAAGGGGGCATGTTAGCTAAGGGGGAGTTATAATATCAGCATACTTATTTGAAGCATGATGTTTTAGAACAAAAATTCCTAGATGCTGGTTCACAGACTAGTTGCTTCAGCATCACCTGGGAAGCTTGTTCAAAATGCAGAAATTCTAATTCGTATGGTATGTAGTGGACCTGTGACCCTGTGTTACTAAAAGCTGCCCAGGTAGATATGGATGTGCAGACAGGTTGGGGAAGCCATACTATGAAAGCATAGAGCAGTGGAACTCAAGAAACTTGGGTCCAGAATAGACTTGCTATGTGGCTCTGGGACTCCTCTGTATTTGAGTGTTAAGGGAGATGAAGGATATGAATTGTTTGTCCCTTCTAGAGTTCCCTGCACTTAAAAAGGGTGATTGTTAGGTTATGAGTAGGTACTCTCTGTTCGAGACCACCACATCAGAGTTCTTCCACCTGCTCTGCTCTCCCCCCAGCCCTGGCAACAAAGCAAGGGACTTGACCCTTTTGATCTAAAATCCTTTCCAGCTTGCATGGGAATGCAAGTTGGTGCAGCCTCTTTGGAGAACAGTGTGGAGATTCCTCAAGAAATTAAAAATAGAACTTCCCTATGACCCTGCAATTGCACTACTGGGTATTTACCCCAAAGATACAGATGTAGTGAAAAGAAGGGCCATCTGTACCCCAATGTTTATAGCAGCAATGGCCACGATTGCCAAACTGTGGAAAGAACCAAGATGACCTTCAATGGATGAACAGATAAAGAGGATATGGTCCATATATACAATGGAGTATTATGCCTCCATCAGAAAGGATGAATACCCAACTTTTGTAGCAACATGGACGGGACTGGAAGAGATTATGATGAGTGAAATAAGTCAAGCAGAGAAAGTCAATTATCATATGGTTTCACTTATTTGTGGAGCATAACAAATAGCATGGAGGACATGGGGAGTTAGGAGAAGGCAGTTGGGGGAAATTGGAAGGGGAGGTGAACCATGAGAGACTATGGGCTCTGAAAAACAATCTGAGGGTTTTGAAGGGGCAGGGGGTGGAAGGTTGGGGGAACCAGGTGGTGGGTATTAGAGAGGGCACGGACTGCATGGAGCACTGGGTGTGGTACAAAAACAATGAATACTGTTATGCTGAAAATAAAAAAAAATTAAAAATAGAAATACCAGAAAAAAAAAAAAAACTTCTGAAATTATTTCTGTACAGGTCAAATAACAGTATGAAAACCATTTCAATAGACCAA